ATATTAAAATCCCCAGCAATACTAAAATAATCATATTCAGATGTTACTATTGATAACAGCTCTGTAAAATCATCAATAAAAGCTGGAGAATATTTTGGAGGTCTGTAGATAATGATTAGTAAGATGCGTGGAGACCCTTTTAGTGCTATACTCAGATATTCAAAAGACAAATAGTCACCAAATGACACTTGTTTACATTCATAGACATCTTTAAACAGGGCAGCGATGCCTCCACCTCTCCTATTAGCTCTGCAAACACTCAAAAAGTCAAAGTTTAAAGGAGCTGCTTCATTCAGAACTGCTGCACTACAACTGTCATCTAGCCAAGTTTCATTTAAAAGCATAAAATCAAGGCAATTTGTGTTGATAAAATCATTGACTAAAAGTGATTTATTATTGAGTGATAATGTGCGGCAATTTTTCAAAATAAAAGATTTTATAAAATAAAAGATCGTTTAGACATTAATAAAACGGAAATAATTAATGATTTCTTGTGTGGCCTGGCGCTGATTGATTTACGGACCGGTACCGGTCCATGGCTCGGTGGTTGAGGACCACAGGGTTAGGGAATATGTTATTGGCATACTTTACCATACCTTTATTCATACCTATTCTATCCCTAAACCCAACCATAACTGTACATTTTACCTATAATCAGAAGGGAATAATAGTTGGAGAACAATCATGTAAAAGTGCATAAACCTAGCTGTAAGCCTAAACGGTAAACGTATCTTTTAATTCTGATTGGCTGTTTGGAATGTTGTTCCAGAATCAACATAGATGTTAATCCAGAAACACGTCCTACTTGGTGAAATTAGATGGGTGTTAGGCCCCTAGTTCCAATTGAGCATTGTTTAAATGGCACAGTGTACCAGAGTAGTTCTACTAATTGCAACTCCATCCCTTCATTACCACAGTGTGCTCATATTAGGCTGCAAGTGTCAGGTGATTCTGATTTTAGATCCACCTTTGGAAATAAAATACTCTTTTTAGTCTGCACTGACTTGTACACATACCTTCAGTAGGCAAGATTTATTACCTACACCCTAGGTTTAAACAATTTTGAAACCACAGTTTATAAGTCCACCAAGAACTATAATGGATTACACATTTTCTCAGTGTAGCAGATTTTAAGACAGTGTGAGAAAGAGCAGCGTTGTTTTATTTTTCACTGGATAAATATAGGCTTGAGCTCTTCGGCCCCTGGAGATAAACGGCAGATATCTTTCTCTTCTCTTTTTTCTATCTTTCCTCACCCTGTTCATCAGCAGGGTGCCGCGGAACCATTAGCTGACATTTAAGCAGTGCTTTTGTCACTGCCATGCAGCCTCTCTCTTCTCTCTCTCCATCGCAGCCCACATCCTCAGTCTAGGATGACGGTAGCTCAGCTACATGCATCATTCAGGCCTGGGTGGAGATGCAGCACTCCACTTCCTTAATAATGTCATTTTGCTTGAATGGTATTAACAGATTATCCCAGCCTGGGGCAGTAAGGCATGTGCTGGGGAAAGATAACCTTGTGTTCTGTAATTTAATCAAAAATGTTTCCTCCATAGAGTCACTTTGCCCCCTCCATAAGAGCCCTAATATGCTCTCGTACCCCCTAGTTGTATTCCTCTGTGGTTGCGGAGCCAGAAAAAAAAAAAAAAAACTATTACAACAGAGTTTTGCTAAGATTCCTCAACGAGGTGTTTCGAATCACTCGGCGCTTCATCTGTGGACATGGGACTATAAACAGGCTTAGATGAAATCAGATTTAAATCCTCAAATTTAGCTCGGCTGCATATCAAAGAGACACTCTCGCTCAACTCTCAAAGGCAGAGCGTTATTTTCTCCTCCGTCACTGTAGGCCTACAGTAATATTCCTCGCCGCATATCGGCTTCAAAAAAAAAGCATGGTGAAATTCTGCGACACAGTTTGATTTAGAGGCAAAAAATGTAAACCATTTAAAGGCGAACTCTTTATGGAGTTTAATCCTGCGTTCCATCCCTGGAAGCCGAATTTATATCCCGCATTAGCTATCGTCTCGTCAGAGTATTGCTCTTCTCCTCGCGCGAGCGTTTTTCGGGGGCAGACGACAGCGCTATCACTCACAAGCACATGCACACACGGGCATTATGGGCTTATCTCATCTCGCACAGCCCAGGCTAGGCCGCCGCTCGGTCCTCCGGGCTACTTTACTAATAACCTTTTTTCTTATCAGGCACTCTGCACCTCTGCCTGTGATCAAAGACCCAATTAATGGAGCAGGGAAAGGTGAGGCATTCAAATAATAGAGACAGCTGTTTTTCTCTGTTTGAGGGAATCCATTTGTATTGTTATCGGCGGGGAGCAGTTCTCCAGACCTCACTTAATTGAGGGTCTGTCAATTCTTGCCGCTTGATAAAAAAAAAAAAACGGGAGTTGAATCGCTAAAGGTGGTAAGTGGCAGGAATATCACAGTGTTTCAACTCATCCTCAGCTTTATGATCTCTTAAATGGTAATAAAAGCAGATAAGGGGTTCACAAAAGTGTAGACCTCCTGGTAGAGATCCTCTGAAGGCTTTGTCAGGGCTGAGCGATCGCCGAATGCCAGGGTTCGTTTTGGCTTGGCGTGGGGGGCGGACGCATTTGTAAAGCCTTTCGGCCAGGACGAAGGTAATTGCTGTACTAAATGTGTTGCCTTGTCAGTGTTGCTGTCACATTTCAGGACAAAGTGGGCTGAATATTGGACATATTAACATTTCAACATTAGGTAAAATGTAAAATGGGGGACATGGGAATTAAGTGACACTTTAAATACAGACCTTCCACGCTAATAGCTTCCCTTCAGAGAGCATTTACTCTTCAATACCCAAGGCCACTTACGCTGGGTGTAGAAGGCCTTTCAATGGCCTATGAAAGCGTAATTTCACTTCAAGCTTTTCTCGATTTATGTATACATACATACTGAAGCACAATTTACTCAGCCTTTAACAGAACCTCTCTTACTTCCAGTAGTTTTAAAAACAATTATGGCATGCAAAGTAATTGCGATTAGTATGTCGTAATTATGATTTACCAAGGCATGGTTTTTATGTGGCGGAAATGGGTTTGCATATGGAGGCAGCTCTTTTTCTGTTTTATTTAACTGTCTATAATCTGTACTACAGTACAGTGTTTCCCAACCCCGTTCACCAAGGCACACCAACAGTACATATTTTGGATGTCTCTCATATGCAACCCATTCTTTTCAGGTTTTGGAGTGTCTTCTAATGCTCTGATTAGCTGATTCAGATGTGTTTGATTAAGGAGAGTGATTAAGAAAATGTGTAGTGCTGTTGTATTTCTAGGAACAGGGTTGGGAATCACTGCTATGGTAAATACAGATGAGCCAAAGCATGACTAGTCACAGGTAAGGTAAATATTGCTGACTTTGTTCCATCATTCATTTTCTTTTCGGCTTAGTCCCTTTATTAATCAGGGGTCACCACAAAGGAATGAACTGCAAACCCATCACTGGGAAACTACAGCCAATTTAGCTAATTCAATTGACCTCTAGCACATGTCTTTGGACTATAAAGGAAAAGGGAGCATCCCACATAAACACGAAGAGAACATTCAAACTCCACACAGAAATGCCAACTGACCCAGCTAGGGCTCAAACCAGCGACTTCTTGCTGTAAGACGATTGTATTACCTATTGCGCCAACGTGACGCCGATATTGTTGACCTTTTCTTGGTACATCAATTAGTAAGCAGGCAATCAGTCCTTGAATATAAAGTGTAGAATGCTTTTCATTTAATCAGTAAATTAAACATTCACCATTGTCCTAATACTATTGAACAACCCCCATTCATGCCCCCCATAAAGTTACTTCAGATGTTTGTAGTTTGTATTCTTATATAGATTTTTTTTTTATATGAATCACTTTAGTGAAGTCTAACTTATTGTAAATTTTTGACACGTACGCTAGTCAAACATAGCCAGACACAGGCGTGACATGAGGGCCAAACTGCCGCAAATATGTGGATACTATTCTGATGATGATATTTGCAATATCTGTACACTACCTGACTAAAGTCTTGTCGTCGTTCCCAGTTTTAAGAGCAACATATTATAACTTGACTTCTAGTTGATCATTTAGAAAAGTAGCGGTAGATTTTTCTGATGAATCATCTGTTGAACTGCATCCCAATCATCACAAATACTGCAGAAGACCTATTAGAACTCGCATGGACCCAAGATTCTCACAGTAATCATTCAAGTTTGGTGAAGGAAATATCATGGTTCGGGGTTACATTCAGTATGAGGGTGTGAAAGAGATCTCCAGAGAGTATGGCAACATCAACAGTCTGAGGTATCAAGACATTTGTGCTGCCCATTTCATTACAAACCACATGAGAGGGCAAACTCTTCAGCAGGATAGCACTCCTTCTCATACTTCAGCCTCCACATCAAAGTTCCCGAAAGCAAAGAAGGTCAAGGTGCTTCAGGATTTGCAAGCCCAGTCACCAGATATGTACATTATTGAGCATGTCTGGGGTAAGATGAAGGAGGAGGTATTGAAGATGAATCCAAAGAATCGCTTTCTTTGCCATTCCAGATGACATTCCAGATAATTTATTTGAGTCATTGAAGATGTATAGATGCAGTCCTCCAAGGTCATGGGAGTCATACACAATATTAATTCTTTTTCAGTGCATCATGACTTTATATTCTAGACTGTACATTATTTCTGTTAAGTGACAAGACTTTTGTCTAAGCAAAGTCAGATTTTACTGTACTAATTAAATAATTAAAAATCAAGGAATGATCTCATTTTATTTTGGTAAAATAAGTGTCATCTAGATGCCTTTGTCTTTCATATAACCCAGTTCTGATACCAAATAATCAACTAGAAGTCAAGTTTTTATTTGTTGTTCTTAAAACTTGTATGTAAAAATGTGAAGTATACTAATCTTAAAAGTTAATGATGCAACAAAACAGAATCCATTCTATCCCATAACAAACTCTAAAACAAAGACAAAAAGACGTCTCCAATGCAGGTATGAACATATTTATTACACAGTAAAGAGTACAACAATACCAGAATCATACTGCAAAGATTCACAGACTGACAGACCATTTACTACAGCCCCCCCCCCCCCAAAACGAGAGAATAAAATAAAGAAAACAGATTAAACAAGAAACAGACATAGTAGACTCAAAAAACCCTAGAGTATACTGAAACGGTGTGATGACGGACCACACCCTCCCAGCCCACCTGTAACCTGTGGTTCTTGTTTCCGTTAAGTATTGCACAACGACTTTCATGAGTTTAATTTTTTTTTCACAATAAAATTTTCGAACAACCCTATCACTTCCCATCCTGAACCCACCCCACCGAGTCATTTCACTTTATGTTCATTTATCATCCCAAAGTTGAATTCACTTTACAAACTGAAGAAAGAAAAAAAAGCGAAACAAAATAGCGCAAGAACACCTGGCAAAAAAAGGCATGCGCGTATTCACCAACTGTTCGATCAGGTTTGGTGCAAATTCCCAATAAACACAAACCTAAATGACACCAACATGTGGCCAAGCGTATCTCACAACAGAAGACGGAAACTGGGGGGAAAGGGGGTGCAGGAGAAGAGAAGGGCAATAGGAATATATCACATTTCTCATCTTTGACCATTACTGAATTATAGTGTATATCAAATGAAGTCAACACTCTGAAATATTTTCTTTTTTTACTTTGAGTCGACTCAAAGTGATTTGTACGCATGATAAACTTAAAATTAACTTTTTTTTTTTTTCATTTTACATATCCTATCCATTAAGCTTTTTTTTTTTTCTCATGAGGTCTGCATTGTTACCAAGTAGTGATATGGTTTGCAGCTATATGAGCTTTTAACTTTGGGTTTAAGTCCTGTTCTCATGTGCCCATTTGGTTTGACTAGACCAGTGTCCGCTCAGCGACTGGTGCTCCTAACGTGCTGTCAGAGGTAGAGTGAGACTTTTTGCCACAGAGGAAAAAAGGTTGTAGCAAAACAGACGTCCTAGAGTGGGAAGGAGAAGAAGGAGATTCTTAACGCTTTATCCGTGCTTATTTATTCAGGTCACCCTGATTGAACTCTACACTAACTGCATGTATTTCAAAAATAGTTTCAAGACAGCTCAGCTGGCAGATTCTGTGGAGATGTGGATGGGTGTCTTACACCCTTGATTTTTGGATTAATAACCGTAGCATACCGGAGGAGGCCGGAAGTGCGTCCAGAGCCAGCCTCTTCTCCTAAGAGGTCAAAAGCACAGCGTTTAGCACCATGAGCCAGCTAATGCCTCATTCACACTAGCAGCGACTTTGTAGCTGCCTGTCGCTATACCTGCAAACGCAGGTTTGAGCACGGAGAATACAACCAGCCTTTGAGCGAGCAGAGAGATCTACTGGTGCTCCTATTGGCTTTCGCTCAAGAAAAATCGATCTTCATTTGCATGAAGTTGAAGGATTCTCAACTTTGTCGCATCTCTTGACTCTCCCACCTGGTCGCCAACAATTGCTGTTGCTCGACTAGGTCGCCAGAATTCGCCCACTCTCTGTTGAAATAAGTGGTGGCCTCTTCGCTTAGCTGCTGCGAGTCGCTTATAGTGTGAATGAGGCTTAAGTGCTCGATCAGACCCCTCTTTCTCTTAAGCCAACAACGAGGTTGTGTCGTTTAGTTTCTCACATGGCTTTTAATCTTGAGCTGAAACACTTGGTTTGGTTATGCGCCGTTCATAAACAAGAAGAGCCTTTTGGGGAGACGAATCCAAACGATACGGAAGGAAAAAAGGACGACATTGAAACAGTTGTGAAAACCTCGCCACGGAGGATCTAGATGTGGGATCCACCTTCCGGTTATTGCTCAGTCCTTCGGACTACATCGTCCACACATCAAACCTTCTTTCCTCAGGAACTGCTACATGGTTTTGAGTGGCTCCTCCTCCCTATGAGCTGAACAGCCCTGGCTCTGGACAGGGGAGAGTTAAAGGTTTTGGAATGGAAACATTGCTCAATGTGGTTTCCCCTGATAAACACGTGGAGAAAACAAGAATGAGTCTCTTTTGTCATGTTTAAATCTTGAATAAAATCAGGTTTTGGTCCTTCATGTCTGTCTTTGGCTGTCTTCCATGTTATGTCTTTTGTAATACTGTGTATCCTGGTGCTCTGCAGTGTTAAAGCTGTCTGTTTTTCACCTCTGCATTTGGAAAGTTAGTTTCTTAGTGTCTTTTTTGTACACTTTTTCTTTTTTTTTGTAGAAAACAAAACAACATATACCATAGCGTTCAGTATGCATGTGCATGCGCTGTCCTTAACTATTCAAAGCAAAATGTTTCGAAAAATGTGAACAAAAGCAGATCGTGGTGATACTTCTGTTTTGTCTTTTGTCTTTTTTCGCTTTTTTTCATAGGTTTTATCCATTTTTTAACAAGAAAAGAAAATCACAGATATGTAACGAAGCACTCCAAAGAAAACCTATGAGGTGAGGCTCCCTATGGAGAAAACAAAAATGCCAAAAGAAGCATGCTGAGAGAAACCGTGACAGTGCAAATACATTTATGTACGTCCCATGTACAAAAACATTTATGTTAGCATTCCATGTAACATGCTAGTTCTCAGAAAAACATCTGAATGAGACCGAAGTAGCAGCTCTGAGAGATAGCGTTTGCCTTTCGAGGACAACGGGGGAAAAGTTTTTTCTTCTTCTTAGAGAACAACAAGGGGACTAGCACAAACACATACGAATAGAAAAGCAGCTTGCGAAAGATAGAGAGACGGAGAGAGAGAAAACAAGAGAAAATATGTTCTTCCTTTTTGCACCTAGAAAGACTAAAAAGTTGTGACTGTGGTTTAAACTATTAATGCGTTGTCACAATTGTCCAGCACATGTACAATAAATAACCATTGGAGACGGCACAGGACACAAGTGTTTAACACAATGAGATCTAGAAGGGCAAAAAGAAGCAGAACGAGGACTGATGGCGGGACAGGAGAGAGCTCCAACAGCCAGTGATTTATGGGGAATTCCTCAGCCCTTTGCTTCCCAGCGGCTGTCACAGTGAGGTTCTGACAGTCCTGCACTGGTGGGCCGATGACTTCACTTCCTGTTTTGGGAGCTGCATTTGGGATCAGGGCTCAGAGCGCATCCTTCATTAAGCTGTGTGCTACTCAACATCCAGCTCCTCGCCCCTACATTCCTCAGTGAAACAGCGTTTTATTTCTCAGACCATTGACCTGGATATTATCTTGCAGAAGAGGGGCGAACATCTGCGTTCCTTCACAATCTGCTGCACATCTGCAGAACTGAGCGCGTGAGCCAGAAACGCCGTCTACTCCACCACATCTGACACAGATGCCCTTCATGGCAACGACGAACGTCGTGTTGACTTCTTTACAAGGAACGCTGTCTTTTTGTCCTAATAAAAGTCAGAGTCTTTGCTTACATCAGCTGTGAAGTATTTCCTTGGTTTTGTCATTTAAAGTGTCTTTAATGAGGTCAAATAGTTTCATATCCCAGCTACTGGATAAAGAGCTTTGAGAACGGAACAAAGGAGGAGGGGAAACCCAAAAAAATAAATGAAGGAGAGGTCGAATATACTCATCAAGAGGTCCCGGCTGTCTACTCCATTTGTCTTCTTATTTACAAGAATGCAAGAGAGCCACAACAACAATAAAAGACATGGCCAACAGTCATCCATAATAGCTGTGGCATTAATAAAGGACAATGAGAATTTCAAACAAAGAATATCTTTGCGTTCTCTATCATGGCAAGTCAATATGACCCGAAATGGACCTCCTGTGGGTGATCGCTCAAAGTAAGTACAGTCTTCTCTCTTTGTTAGTGCGCTAGCTTTAGCATTTTGGAGCAAGTGAGGCAGGTGAGTCGGCTTGGACTCTAGCGCGGCGTGTTCTCCACGGTGGAGGGCGTGCCGGGTGTGGCTGAGCGAGGAGTGGCGGCGGCAGACGGTGTGTCTGCTGGACTTCCAGCTCCGCTGCTGGGAGTGGCTGAAGAGCTGACGGTGGCAGGGGTCTCACCCTGCTGCTGGGCCTGCAGTGTCTGGCCACACACGTGGTGGTGCTTTTCCCAGTCTTTGTGCTGGCAGAAGGAACCGCAGTAACGCGCCGTGTTGCAGCCGCTGCAGGTCTCGCTCGCCTTGCGCCCACAATTCCAGCAACTCTGCGTGGAAAAGAGGGGGAAGAAAGGTTTAAGTTGTGATATGTAAAAAAAAAAAAACGCATGCATTTTTTTCCACGGTATTATCCCAATTAGGAAATAATAGATGCGTAAATCTTTGAGAAAAACGAGAGCAAGTCTCAGCTCATTAGCAGCAAACATTTCCCATTTGAGTTTAAGTCTAAATAGAGAATTCTGCTTTATTTTTCGTTGGATCTCCCTTCTTTGAAAACACTGAAATAATGAGCTAGCTGGAGAGAAAAAAGGAAAATAAAAAACGCAGCCATTTTACCCAGTTCCACATGGCACGATGTGAGGACACATTTGTAACAGGTTAACTACAAAACGCTCAAAGATCACACAGAAACTCAGGTTACCACTGTGGCCTCTTTGTGTTTGTCTCCGGGCCAAATAAGAGCAATTATCACAAAGTCTCGAATGCGTCCCAGAGATGAGAAGCCGCTGTTATAAACGGCTACCGATGAAATCCTCCAGGGAGAGGTGCATAAACATGGCTCGTGCAATTAAACTCAGATGCGTGCCGCCTTTCTCTGCTAACTGATTAAACGAGCCGTACCCCTGCTGTGCGCAGACACTCGCCTGCTCCCTTCCCAATTTCCCACATCCAAATCAGTACCACCTTAACTGTCCACATGTTTCATTTAGAGAAGGAAGAGCGCCGCTCTGCCTGAGGTGATAAATGCAATGTTATATTCCTCGACTCTGCATGACACCAGCCTGCATGAGGAATTATCTGGGACACGCTTTCTCTTCCCCCCTGTGCTTTTCATATGATCTCAATGTTTTCCTAAAGATTTACATACTGAGGAGATCAAATTTAAGCTACGGACATACAACAATCCAACCAAGTGTGGGTGTATGTCATGTGTGTATATATCATAAAATAAAATGAATTTCCAGAGATAATATCTAATGCAAAAATAAAATAAACGATGGAATATATTACCATCCCAATGAATCATTGTGCGGTATGTGAATGCTGCAGCTGTCCACTGATATAATAACAATGTGCGCTAGGCGCACAAGCTGTTACCTCACTGGAGTCCTCCTGCTGGTTGATGACTGACAGCGCGTCCTCTGCTGCTTGCCTCCTGGCCTCAGCCACCGTGCGCTCCATCTTGGCTCGCTCTGTGCTGATCATCTCGTGTGCCTTGCGCTCAGCCTCTGACACGGCTTTCTGCAGCTCAGACATGGCCTGCCTCTTCACTTCATTCACAGCCTCTTCTGACAGAAAGAACACAGTGCTTTTAAGTGTCCATGGCATGGCAGGAAAAAAGCAGATGATAGTGCAAAGAGAATATAATGTAGATTATAAACACATCCAGATGTGCTTTGTTAAATAAATAAAAACCCAGCAAGCGTTTTTGTTTTTTGTTTTTAAAAGATGTCTAATAGACGTCTAAACATAGTCATTTGGCTAAAACAAGGCTAAATTTGGGCTGCAAGTGAAAATCTAATAGACGCCTAAGAATAGGCCAAAACTAGAGTAGTCATCAAATAAACAGAAATTAATGATTACACATATAAGATCTGTCTGATCTGTCTATTTGACGACTAGTCTAGTTTTGCACTATTCTTAGTTTAGTTTAGTTAGATTAAAAGTGTATGAATCCCCTTGGGGCAATTCATTCTGACATGGTGGTGCTTCACATGTAACAAGAATGACACACTTAACACAATAAACACCAACACTTAACATCAAGTAAACAAAAAAAAAAAAAAACTGAAAAAAAAATTAAATAACAATAATAAATAATAATAACTAATAATAATATTCCATCGGTTAACTACATTTATTACGTAACAGAATTGCTTCAGGCACAAAAGTAAATTGATAACAATTTGTGGAACATCTTATTGTCCTTAAATGTCACCTAAAGGGGGCACCCACTCAAAATATCTGATCAAGGAGTGTGTGATGTCTTCTAGTATTTTATGTGCTATCCTCAACACCTGCTGTTCGTATCAGTATGCAAGGCTTCGCAGGGGAACCCCTAAAATTTTTAGATGTTCATTAGATTTTCACTGACAGCCCAAGTTTAGCCTTGTTTTAGCGTGTCTACGTTTTAATGTCAATTAGACATCTATTAAAAAAATAAAAAATAAAAATAAAATGTTTGCAGGGAATCATCAAATGGCAACAAAACTACCCAAAATATACACTGTCATTCTAAAAATCTCAGTTTGTTGGATATATAAATAACATTGATCATTATCTGCAAACTACTGATGCCTTTTTTTTTCATATTTATCATAAAAATTCTGTAATTTTGCCATAAAATGACAAATGGTCAAAATATCAAATATATTTATTAGCATTTTGTGCAAAAACAATATCATAGAGTACAAAAATAGGTAACTATTTTTAACTATCACAACTAAGAACCAATAAACATAAAAAAAACAATATATTAAATAACACAGTAAATTAAAAAAATAATAATAAAATAAATAAATAAATCACAAAAAACAAATAAATAAATAAACAACTAGATAAATAATTAAATAAATAAATAATAAAAAAGCTTTATTTCTCTTCTGCTTTAAGACTAGTAGTGTCAATATAATTCAACAAAGGTCTCCATGCTTTGTAAAAAGATTTTTTGAAGACCCTCTTAATGAAAACCAAATTTTTTCCAACTTTAAACATTTCTTTTATCATATGAAGGTGGAGATGTTTGCACTTAAGGAGAATAATCCTCCAAGCCATTAATGTGGTAAAAGCAACAACGTTCTGTGTTCTTTAAGGAAAACTTGGCCCAAAAGGAATTCCGAACAGTGCTGTTAGAGGGTTTGGAGTGGCTGATATGTACAAATGTGTCAAATATTTTACACCAAAACTCTTCAGACATATTTTTAACTCATTTCTAGATAACGCGATGTTATACCTTTTTTCATCAAATTTTTTAGTTTATTTTAACCAATAGTCAAATAAATAAATACAACTCTTTATGTTTTTTTTTATTTGAAAACTGAAAGAAATAAATATTTTACACAAATGAGTTCAAAAATATCTAGTAAATGTAAATAAACTAGACAATTTTCCATAATTTATAGATATTCTAAATAAATAAAAAACTGACCCCAATGTTTTGACCAGTAGTGTATACAGAAAGTAACTCAACATCTTATTATTCTGCATCTCAGTCGGTTTAATTGATGCTATTGTTCAAAAGCAGCTACGAGATTAATCTGGGGATTAATTAGAAACATCAGTCTTTATTTGAATGGGCTCAGACGACTTTCTATGTTCGCTGAATACAAATAAACAAGAAAAAGCGCTTTTGTTTCGCCTCAAACCAAAGAGTTTACTCTAGTGCACAAGACAGATTACAGGTAATCCTTGATATTTTCCTCTCTGAAGTATAAATGCATTTCCTTGAACTCGCATTTTATCTGTACTTTTACATTGTTATCCCATTAACCGTAAATACTTCTGGCTGGAAAACTCATCTCAAGAGCAGACTAGGGCTTTTTTCGTGTGTTTGTTTGTTTTCATTGTTCAAGGCTGCAGCCTGACTAATTGCATATGCAAATCGGGCAATTTATATTTAAATTATGCATTTCAATTGCACCCCCAAAGGCCCATGCAGATCAGGATATGGCACTGTGCGAGAAAAAGTCTTGAATATTCATCACCTACTGTACACAATCTTTCGTTTAAAAAAAAAAAAACGGACACGCATCTCTTAGTACATAGTGGCAACTTGTGAAGACGGCTTTAAGGCAGCTTTGACTGTTTTAGCATGGATTCTGTATGCATCACAAGAGGGGTACAATGGTTTAGAAAAAAGCTTAAGGAGCTTTATTGCACTTAAACTGTCACGGCAGTCTCTTGTTCTGAAGGAATGGATGGCTGCGGTTATGCAGACCCCAGTCTTGAATATGAAGGATTATAGAGCCAGGGACATTTCATCAATACTGGACTGAATTGTAAAACCATGGTGGTTTGGTGTGCAGAGTTGTCTTCTCGATGAGGATGAGGTCACGGAAAATGCACCACAATCCCTGATACGTTTTACTGCACTTAGTCTTGACAATTCAGATGGAATTTCAATCTGCGGTGATTTGTTTAGGGTGTTATTACCGCTGTTGTGTCGCAGGGGCAATGTATTACCCCAAATGAGCGTCTTCTGTAACGTCATTTTCATGGCAAGGTTTGTTTGCTTTTATAAAGCCTTTGGTAAGACCACACAGAGAAGACAAACTGCTTAAGCAGATGCGTCTGTCGTGTATTAGCAAGCCGAGGCCAAGGTAAACAATCTGCTATTACAGAATCCATCACTTGTCATATTTCACACAGATCAACTGCTCTTTAAACAAAGCCTTTTAATATCTTTATCCGTCTTTTAACCAGCTCCTCTGCTGTGATAAAACAGAGTGCCGTGGAGAGCTGAGAGCCTGTTGCACAGCTAATGGCAGGAGTGCTGAAGTGCTGTAAAGGCTGGGAGCACTTATGTGTCCTGTTCAGCCAGTGCAATAAAAGAGCTTTATGATCTGACTTCACTGTTGGAATGTGTAGAGGTGCTTCCAGTGAAAGCCAATCACCAAACTGCCCGGCACACGACTCCTGGAACGTTACAGGAGTCAAATTAAATGCCACAAAAACAGACAGACGTTTCATAATGCACTACAGATCTCCAAGATCTGCTACATTTTTCCATGTGCTTGGTCTGCTTTTGAAGGTTTTTGTAAATGTTGCTTTTCAAATGTGCAAACCCAGCAGGCACAAGACGTTAACATGACGTCAGATTGATGTTGTACCCCAACATCGTGGGGACGTTCTGTTTTGTTTGGAAATAAAAATTGGGTTGATGTCAGAATCCAACGTTAGGCTGATGTCAATGTCCAACCTAAAATCAAATATCAACGTCTAATGATGTAACAGCGTGACGCTGTGTGGACGTTACCCCTATGACGTTTATCAGACGTTGGATTTTGGTTGCCATACCTGACAAATAAATGTCAGTATTTGATGTCAATATGACGTTAGTTTAAGTTGTGACTTGACGTTGGATTTTGGACACTTTCCAACACAACCTAAAATCAACCAAATATCAACCTTGTAATTGGATATCAAAATAATGTTGTTCTTAGACACTGGATAGTAGGGATCATCCCATTGTCCTTCCATGGTTCAGTGCGCCCTGTTATCCGCGGTTCAAAATATGCATTATTTATATTTGGTTTGTTACTTTAGTCCTGCTTCTGCTGGGTGTACTCCTGCATCCGATCACTCTCGCTATTCACTATTCACTCGGTTTAACCGCAGTCTGCTAAAAAAAGTATTCTTCTCGACTGACTGTTCCCGCTGAATTAAGAGAGAAAGCCGAACGCTCTCTCTTTGCTCAAGTTTCTTTCACCACGAAGGTGCTAAGAGAAACAGAGCTCTCTAGAATCATAATAAAATCATAGAAATCATAAATAAAATGTGTTGGTGCCTTGGCAATACAAGCATAATGTAAACAGAAGTAATCAATACTATAAAAGTGCTCAGTTATAAAGATGTATGACACAATTACTATCTGCATAATTGGTTGAGACTGATGAGGGGAAATTGAAGTTTAATTTTTTAAGCAATTTTATTGGACGCAATTTTCAAAATGCCCTACTTTTATTTAATTAATGCCAGAACTTGCAAATTAACAGTAATATGTGTGAAGCTGTTGCATTGTCAGGTGTTTGTTACCTAATATATATGTTTATTGTTATTTGAATTGTTCTGTAGGCATTTTTTTCTAAGCATAGCACAAATTGTACCGTACCAAAACCGTGACCCTAAAATCGTGATACATGCCGAACCGTGAGTTGATTGAACTGTTGCACCCCAACTGAATAGACAATGAATTTTGCTCATGACCAAAATTTAACCTAATAGTAACGTCCTATGCCATTGTGTGCCTGCTGGGAAGCCTCAGTCTTGTCTTTAATTAGTTTATATTTTAATCAAGTATATAATTTTATATGTGCATCAAACGGAAGCAATTCTAGTAGCTCTAAAAGCCTTAAAGAATTTAGTCCATTCAAAAACATGAATATATTTGTATTTTATTAATAAATATGGATTCATATATATTTTGTGCATGATATGTACATCCTTTGCTGTGCATAAAATGTTCCTCTTGATTATTTTCGCAATCATGAATCTCCGTGATCTCAGGATAACAGCTGTTATGTCGAGATCACACCAGAGTTTGGTGTGACACTGACAAGGTTCCCACCTGACTCTGCAGTTCTGCATACAAATAACAAACTTGACTGACTGATTGAATTTCAGAGAGCTTTTAAATCATAGACAGGCTTTTGAAAGAGCTCTGTCTGAATAATTTAGCTTTGATTTTCCACCTGGGCTTGTGTGTGTGTGTGCGTGTGTGTGTGTGTGTGTGTGTGTGCGTGTGTGTGTGCATGTTTAAAAAAATAACAAAGACAGCATGCTAACCGGCTTTCTTCCAGATTTCTTCAGGTACGTATCCAGACACTGGCCTGTGAAGGAGCTCCCTATGTACTTCTGGAGAGAAAAACAGACACCTAATTAACAGTCAACTCAATATGTGGTACATACATTTTCCAGGGACAAATAACTGATAGATCGTTATACTGCAATCAGCTCAATGAACTGTAAATCTGCCCTTTTAGAGATCAGATTATCAAGTTAAGACTCAAATAGACCTCAGAGCTGCATTTAAGTTACCTAAAGCATTGCCTTCTTGGCTAGCGGGACTCTGTTGTCTTGACTGACTGGTGCTAGTGCTGCTGGTTTTTTTAAGGTCTTCAGCATCGCTGTAACGCCGGATCCAGTAGTTGAGCTCTTCTCGGTCAGTCTCCTGGCACCTCCGCAACACTGTCAATGAGCGACGTGTCTTCTCCACCATATCCATAATGCAGTTCAGGAGCTGTGGGGCATATACATGTGGAGTGTTACCAACAACACATGTCCTCTAAACAGAGATGACCAATTTAGATAGTAAAACATGATGTTGAAGGGCTTAAAAGAATTCTGACACACATCAATGCTACAGACAGTTAATACTCTGAGGTAGCTCTTATAGATCATGAGACTTTTCAAATGTACAATAAATCAATTTTTCTACTTAATGTTCTTCTGACGCGCTTGAGGCAATTGTTTACAAATCAATACAAGTAATATAGATGCATGACTTTTGGTTAAAAATGATTATAGTGTATAATTCAAAGACTTCACCTGATTCATAACTTGATGAATCAGCATTTTTGAACAGGTCTCTTGAATGAACAATTAGACATACAATTTTTTTGGACAGTTATATGTTGCCAACTACTGGTACAATGACATAATTCAGGGGTGGCCAACCCTGTTCCTGGAGAGCCACCTTCCTGCAGATTTCAGTTGCAACCCTTATCCAGATAACCTTAAAGGGTTAAACAAATGACTCACAGCATTACTACGGTCACAGAAAAGTTTGCGCTGTTATAATTCACTTACCCTTTAATATATTTTGGTGCGATTATTACCCGCTGTTAAAAAAAGAAAATGTTTTGAATGAGAAGCTGTAATGTAGCCGTAGCAGGAGGAACTTTAGCATGGCGCCCCGCCATGGCAGAATGAATGTAGCGGAAACCATATATCGATTTCGGCCAAAAAACTCCTAATCGTTGGTATTTAGGAATGAAATCTTAGAGTGATAAATTGTGCATCTCTAATAAATATTTGGGGTAAATTTGGATGTTAAATATTGCTGTGTTGGAATCTTGTTATGCTGCTCAAAACTGTCAGAGAAAAGAGACTTGCAAAAAAATGCCTTTCTGTGACAGGAAAAAAAACATGCAAACACAGAAATGTACTTGCACACCCCTCTCATGTCTTTATCTCACGTTCTCTCTCTCTCTCACACACACACACACACACACACACACACACACACTTTAGATAGTAATAAAAAATGTTATTACTTTTCTTACATGGTCAAGGTGCTTCCACTCTTCTGCCCATTCTCTGTCTGTGAGTCTGTGATCTATGACTTCCTCCTGGCGTGTGCTGCTGCCGTGCATCCCTGACACAGAACCGGAGAAAGAGAGAAAGAGAGAGAGCGAGTGTTAAACGTGTTACTATTTTCCTCGGTTTTCCATTTCTCATGCTTGCCCTCAGCAGCGTGTCGTGCCCGTCTGTTTCACAGCCATAGCTCACCCGCTTCCTGACATCCTCCATCGCTCACACACTCTTCATTCCTCACATGCTCTCATCCCTCACTCCGCTTTCCAGTGCAGCCTGCGGGCACGCTCTCTCCACGCCACGCCAGAGCTGCCAGCCTCATGCATATCTGGTGCATATATCACCGGCTAACGTGCTCAAGTATTTTTAGCACATTTAAACCCGATAGGGTGAGTAGGTTTTATGTAAACCTCACATCATTTTTAAAGGAGTTTATGTTCCTGATCCAACTGAGCCTCGCCTGGGTTAACTTCTGAGACTCTGAGTGGCACGCGGTGGACTTTTTGGAGATTTGAGCTGCTGGCAAACTTAGCTTAGGAATAAATGCCCCTTCATTTGCTTTTATTCCTAAAATGAATCTTAGAAATGTATTTTAATTTGCACACTCATGTAAATATTGTAAATACAGTGCTAAACATACTATATGAGAACACCCCTTACAAATCTCTTAAACTCATATACTCATATACATTAGATTAGTCAGTACTGAAGCCAAATCTGGAGTTAATAATAAACAAAATAACTTATAATAACGGTCCAAAATGAGTACACCCAAATAGGGAAAATATTAAATAAATACTTTTTAAAAGAGCAAAATTCAAGAGAAACAAAACATGTAAAAATATTTTTTAAATGCGGTAGTTTTTTCTTTTTTCTTCAATATTTAGCATGAATTTAAATGTATTATCATTCAATGATTCAAAAACTTCACCTGATTCATTACTTGATGAATCAGAATATTTGAACAAGTCTATTGAATGAATAATTAGACATAATTTTTTTAAACAAAACTTTTAACAATTTTTTTTACATGTTGCTAATTATGGCATGGTGGTGCAGTGGTGAACACTGTCACCTCACAGCAGGAAGGTCGCTGGTTTGAGTCCCAGCTGGGCCAATTAGCATTTCTGTGAGGAGTTTGTAAGTTCTCCTCGTGTTCATGTGGCTTTCCTCTAGGTGCTCCAGTTTCCGCCACAGTCTAAAGACGTGTGGTATAAGTAAACTGAATGAATTAAATTGGCTGTAGTGAATGAGTGTGTATGCGTGTTTCCCAGTACTGGGTAGCGGCTAGAAAAGCATCCGCTGCGTAAAACATATGCTAGAATAATTGGTGGTCAATTCTACTGTGGCAACCTCTGAAATAGAGACTAAGCTGAAGGAAAATGAATAAATAAATGTTGCCATCTACTGCTATGATGATGTAAATCAGGGGTGCCTAACACGTCGATCGCAATCTACCGGTTGATTGCAATCTAACAGTCGATCACAAATGTAGCATGGTAGATCATAGGGCATTAAAAAAAAAAACAGGCGACAGCCTATCATTCATCCACACTGAAACTTGTCGTTTGATTGATATACAAGGGAGCCAGGCTGATATCTGTCCTTTTCTATTGCATGTGCTTAACACCCTGCTAACTTTGCTAAGTGCTGCAAAACTATAGCGGCTAAATAACAATATTCTGCATAAATTTAAATGCATTATCTTTCTATTTGTAAAGATGTTTCTGTGACTAAAATATTTTTTAATAAATATATCTGATTAATAAATCAGTTTGTTCAAATGTACCGAAATATATTGTGTATATTTTATTGAAAAATAGATAAAAATGTTCATTTTCAAAATGGGACATACTCACTTATGTTGAGCACTGTCTATATATATAGCAATACACACAAGAAGTTTGAGTTCTACAAACGAAATGTTTGTGCTCAGAGAGTTTTGTGCTACAGTAAAGAGAGGGAAGTTTTTTTAGAGGAGATTTTTTTTATTTGAAACTTGTTTTTACCTCCAAATTTATAGGGGATTTGCATTAAGATGGAATATTTTATTCATCAAGTTAGGATTTAATGGTCACAGTCACCATCAAACTTTTACAGCACAGTAACGCTCTTATTAATGACTTTCTCCAGATGCTGCCGTCTCTTACCCAGTGGCCGAGGGCGGTCGCGGAGCTCGCGGTGGTTGGGGTGACGATAGGAATCTCTGTAGTGGTGTGCGATAGCCATGTCGTCCAGACGGTAGTGCTGTGGAGGGGGTGGTGTGGGGTGTGGAAGGCCATTGGGCTGGTAGGAGAGCCCGTTGGAGGGGCTGAAGCGCTGTCCCGGGCTTATAGTGCAGGGCCTCTTGTTGGGGTGCTCAGGATGAAGGGGCTCCCGCTCAAAGCCGTTCTCTTTGGTTCTGGAAGGGGAAAAGATGAATCCAGAGTGAGAACCAAAAACAAGGCTTCTGCAGGTTTTACCAAATCATAGTTAAGTCTTTTTAAAGACCATTGTAATATTACATTTAAATATTTCTGACCTATATCTGGAAGTTGGGCTTATTTGTAGACAAAATACAGCGTTTACATTTGGACTGGCAAAAGAAATAACTACAAAGAACAACAGAAACCTTTTTTGAAATATTAAGTGGAACATTCAAACACTTTCAAAACGGTTGGAGAAGAAATGTATGACTGATGGATGGACAGAATGACAGAATAGTAGAGAAAGATAAATGTAAATTAACAGATAGAAAGACAGACAGACAGACAGACAGACAGAAAATGAACTGACAGATGGATGGATAGATGGACGGACGGATAGACAGAGAGACGGATAGACAGATGGACGGATGGATGACATAGACACCGATATATACATAGATGGATGAATGGGTGAATGAATGATAGATAGACACAGAGAGACGGATGGATGGATGGATGATAGATAGACAGAGAGACGGATGGATGGATGGATGGATGGATGGACGGACGGACGGACGGACGGACGGACGGACGGACGGACGGACGGACGGACAGACAGACAGACAGACAGACAGACAGACAGACAGACAGACAGACAGACAGACAGACAGACAGACAGACAGACAGATAGATAGATAGATAGATAGATAGATAGATAGATAGATAGATAGATAGATAGATAGATAGAAACTGTAGACATCTTTTCTTTCCTCTTTTTACACAACAGATTGTCTTTCCACAAATATCAGGCACCATGTTGTCTCACTAGATGTATTTTTTTTCTTTTTGTTGTTGTATCTCTTCAACAACACAGGCACACGATCTGACATTGAAACGTCTTTTGAGGACAGTGTTCATTGATGTTATGTGCTTTCCTCGCTGAGGGTCGGGGGGGGAACGTGAAACTGCTCCTGAGGCAGTAAGAGTCTGTCATCTAATGTGCTAAGTAGAAAAGCAGCTTCTTTGACTCCGTCGAGCACTTTGTTGTCATGAAAAGGAGGTCTTGACAGAGCACATGAGGACCATAAGAGACGTGCACTTACAGAACTCACTCAGCAACACACCTAAACCCTGGGGCTTTCACATTGCGCTGCCCTTCACTTTCATGTGTCACAGGTCCAGGTGTTTGCAGATGCAGGTACTTGTGTGTGTGTGTGTGTGTGTGTTGTGAGGCAGCTGTCCCTCGGTTACCTCTGAAAGAGACTGAACTTCCTAATGAGCTGCTTTTATGAGCTGCTAATGCGCATCCATCACCATCCATATGCTCCTCAAAGCAACCTCTCTCTCCTCCACCCACACCTCCAAACACAGCTGCCTTTATTTTACCCCAGTCTCATACATTTTAATACTGATTCTAATTATATTCATTCTTCGTGAACTTTAGCATTTCTGATTCAGACAGAGCTTGTGGTTTACATGTGTCTCACAATCTTGCTTTTTCCACAAAACATTCATTAATTTCTTTTGGCTTAGTCTCTATTACAGAGGTCGTCACAGTGGAATGAACCACCAACTATAGGTAGATATCAATAAAATACAATTAATGGAAAATTTTATGAATAATTCTCGTTAACTTCCTGCTGCATCTGTATGTGATCTATAGCTGATTAGCCATGTGCATGGATGCTTCCAGCCTTCTGAGCCTACCAGTAGGCACAGAGGGCCCCTACTGGCCCATATCTATCAACTGATAACGCTGATGCTCAAACCAGCGATTTTCTTGCTGTGAGGCGACAGTCGTAACACAAAAGACTTTTTAATAATCTTTTCCCCCCATTTTTTTATTTAAATTGAAATTAATATATTTAATATAAACTATAAAAGTATATATAGGCATTTTATGAACAAAAGTTATAATATGAATTAGAAAAAAATAAGGATCTTTATTCTGCATTATTGCATTAAATTGATCAAAAGTAACTATAAAGACCTTTACAGTGTTGGGCATAATGGAGTACACCCCATTTTGAAAATTAATATTTTTATTCATTAATCAGTGAATATAGGCAATGTATTTTGGTGCATTTAAATAAAAGACATTTATTATACAGATATAGGTAATAAAATAATATTTTAGTCACCAAACATATTTAGAAATTGAAAGAGAATACAATTAAATTCAAGCAAAATATTGCAAAAAAAAAAAAACTACAAATTTCAACTAAATTTTTCCATTTTTATGTGTCTCTATTTATTTATTTTTTTAAATCGGTATTTAATATTTTTTTCTAACATATAAATTTGGCTTTACTAGTTTTTGGACCGTTATTGTAAGTTATTTTGTTAGATTAGCTCCAGATTTGGCTTCAGTACTGAATAATTTAATGTATCTGCACGAATATAATATTGTATAGTGTCCTATTAAAAATATGAACTTAAAAGATACATTTGTGAGGGGTTTACTTATATATGCTGTTTATATAAATATTGTTACTTAAATATTGTTTTTAATGAGGAATCCTGAACTCATATATTTTTTATTTTAACAAAAACACTGGAGTAAAAAAACACTGGAGAAAACACTGGAGAAAAGTCATGTGACATTAAAGACTGTAATAAATTAAAAAATTAAAAAATAAATAAATAAATAAAATAAATAAATACAGTTGAAGTCAGAATTATTAGCCCTGTTTATTTTTTCCCCCAATTTCTGTTTAATGGAGAGAAGATTTTCTGATTTCTGAACCTAATAGTTTTAATAACTCATTTCTAATAACCGATTTTTTTTATCTTTGCCATGATGACAGTAAATAATATTCACTCATTTTCTTGTTGGCTTAGTCCCTTTATTAATCCGGGGTTGCCACAGTGGAATGAACCGCTGACTTATCCAGCAAGTTTTTACGCAGGCAAATTTATTGTATTAGGCAAGTTATTGTATAATGATGTTTTTTTTCTGTAGACTATCGAAAAAATATAGCTTAAAGGGGCTAAAAATTTTGACCTTAAAATGTTTTTTTTTTTAAATTAACAACTACTTTTATTCTAGCCGAAATAAAAACAAAAAATACTTTTATTCAGAAGAAAAAACATTATCTGGCATATTGTGAAAATTTCCTTGCTCTTTTAAACATCATTTGGGAGATATAAAAAAATAAAAAATAAAATCAAAGTATTAATAATTATGATTTCAACTTTAACCATATATATATATACTATATATTTTATTATACATTTAAAAATATATTATTTTACAACATTACTTTTATCGCATTTTTGATAATAATAAATATGTATTAGTAATAGTATATGAAGCTTTCAAAAACATTTTTTACCAATTCCAATTTTTTTACAGTACTTTACACAAGATCCCACTGACGGTTTTTGAATGTAAGCATTTTAAATCCCAGCTAACGTCTTAATTTCCCTCAGTTTAGAAAGCCTTTTGGGGATCACTGAAAGCTGTGAACTGAATCTGAACCTCATTTCGAATTCACCTTTTTTTGTGTGTGTTTCACATATATAGGGGTAGTGCGGCACAATGGAATATTTTATTCAAATAAGTCTCCGCATGCATTTCTCTTCTAAATGAGGAGAGCGCACTAAGAATGCGTTGTGGGGTGCGCTCCTTTCCATAGCTGTAGTTTCCCGATTCCTTTGATATTAATCAGACCGAAGTGACCGTACATTGTGCTCCGTGATTAAGGACAGCATAGCTCCCTTTCAAATTCCAATATTGCTTTCTCTCTCTCTCTTTCACCCTCCTCGTTCTGAGCCCGGAGAGTCGAGTCGAGCCGAGCCGAGCTAAGCAGAAACAGAAGCGCTTAGCCAGCCGTATCTGAGCTGAGTCTCATCTGTATGTGTTATCAGCCATGTCCCCAGGCTCACCTAGCCATGCTTTAGAGCTCACGCAAAAAATGCAGGTATTACATTAAAAAAAAGATAGATAGAAAGAATAAGAAAAAGAGAGAGCTGTATATACTTCTCTAATAACCACAGGGACCTGAGCTGATATGTATTCATATAAGATAGCGTATTAAAAATTATATTTCTTCACTGAAAGGAGGAAATAATTCTGAGCTCCTGGGAGTGAACTGATATATACAGAATATATGTATCTTTTACATCGTCTCTCACAGTCCACAGCAGATATGCTCTGGTTTTACTCGGCTAGTTCGTGTTCATCTCAACAGGACGTCTCCAAAGAATAGAGCAGAATTCTCCAGATGTGTCTGGTTCCTCCAGGTTCTGCTCCATTAAAGGATGAGAATCCAAATGACGCGTGACAATACAGACACTCATAAGCGGCTGCGATATTTCTACATACCTCCAGCTGTTTAACAAACCCTGTGTTTCTAGTCCATATATTTTTAGGTGCTTAAAGTGCACCCACTAACAAACAAATGCTCTTTTAAAGGGCACCTATTTTACCCCTTTTACACGATTTATGATAAGCTTTTGGTGTCTCCAGAATGTGTCTGTAAAGTTTCAGCTCATTATGCCCATCAGATTATTTATTACAGCGTCCATTTTTGTTTTTGAGTATACTGTAGATGATTTTGTATCCTGTGGGTTAAAATGAAAATGAGCCGCTTCTCCCCGCCCACCGTTCCGACGTGTGTGACTGCTTCTCATCATGCGTGATGTCAGATTAACAGCAGTCAGTGACAGAGACAGACTTGGATGAAGCTGAAATACAGCTCATTAGTCAAAAATACCAAGTAACTTTACTTCATGTATTTATAGTGGTGTTTATTCAAGCCTGTCTGAAATGATGAGTCTCACACAAATGTCGTTTGCAGCACACACAAAGACACATTAGTGTTTACTGACACCATGCGGCTGTGGTGATTATAGAGGTTAAGAGTTAGAGTTAGTTACTGTCTTTTTTACCAACATGCTCTGTTTCAAAAACATTTTAAACTTATATAAAAATCACAGAGAGTTGTAACCAATGTTTTTATCCCAGTTCTTTGCAAAAGAATGCTCTGTGGACATGTGTCCTACATCACGTTGCAGTGGGACTCAAAATCACTGGGATTTTGATCTTATTTTAATGTCAGGAAATTTTTAAAAAGAGACTTGTTGGGTTTATAATACAATATGACTAAGGAAACACTATACCTACACACAGTTCTGTCCTAACAGCTTACAATAGTTTGATTTTCATCATAAGTGCGCTTTAAAACACTGAATCATAAGATCCAGAAATATTTTAATTACTGTTGAGCTCTTCTTTTAATATCCAGGCTCAACCATAAGGAAAGCTGGCTGACCCGAGAGCAGCTTGAGAGAGATTTCTTTTAGAGCTGTTGATGTTAATTTAGTTATTTTAATTTGGCAAATTGATCTAAGGTGAGTTTAATGAAATTTGAGTTGGAAACATTGTTAATTTGAGAAACATACAGTTAAAGTCAAAATGATTAGCCCTCCTGTGTTTTTTTCTTTTCTTTTTCAATTATTTTCCAAATGATGAACAGAGCAAGGGATTTTTTCACAGTATTTTCTATAATATACTTTCTTCTGGAAAAAGCCTTATTTGTTTTATTTCAGCTAGAATAAAGGCAGTTTTTATTTTTGAGCCATTTTAGGGTCAAATTATTAGCCCCCTTAAACAATATATTTTTTTTACTAATACTGTAAACTTTATTGTCGCCTTTTGGGGTGATTTGTTCTGCAGCGTAATAGATTTAAAACACATATATAATACAAACATCAAACAACATTGATAGTACTAAAAACAGCAACTATCTCTTCCCATTAAAATTCAGCAAATCAATCGCACAGAGAACAAATGAAAATAAAAATAAAAAATGTATCTGTTTGTCCATGCCAAAGAGACCCTATGCCGAGATCCTGAGGGAAGGATATGAAATGAATCAAAAAGAAGATGGGATATATTAGATGTAATCTGATGGGCATTCTTTTGATTGTCTATAGAACAAACCATTGTTATACAATGGTTTGCCTAAATACCCTAACTTGCCTATTTATCTTAAGCTTTTAAATGTAACTTTAAGCTGAATACTAGTATCTTGAAAAATATCCAGTCAAATATTATGTACTGTCATCATGGCAAAGATACAAGAAATCAATTATTAGAAATTAGTCAATAACACTATTATGTTTAGAAATGCATTGAACAAATCTTCTTTCCGTTAAACAGAAATTGGGGGACAATATAGAAAATATTAGGTGGCTAATAATTCAAGAGGCCTATAAATGCTGAATTCAACAGTAATATTAGTGTTCATTCATTTTATGTACTTTCCTCTGTATTTTTCTTGAACTGCATAAATTATATTGCGCTGGTAATTTTTAAAGAAAAAAAAAAACCTGCAGGTGCAAGCAGAAATACAGTGCGATTGGCTAAATGCCAACAAAACTACAAGATTGATTGCCAGTGATGCTGGTTTAGAGTTGGCCTCACCTGTCAGGTGTTCTTCTCTTGCCATTCTCGTTGACGTCCATCAAGAGTTCAGACGAGTCGACAGGCGACGTGGTGCTTGTGTCCAGCAGGAGCTGCTCATGTTGGGCTAGGTATTGAGCCGGGTTCTGCTTGGCCAGCCGTGCACAGTGCACCAGTTCCCTCTGCAGTAGCGGGAGATTGGCCTGTAGGGGGAGATAGCGATCAGGTTGTGCAGCACTATGAAGCTGTCCACAGCCAGAGGCTCTAAACACCGCTTTTTTGTTTACTCATTATTATCATTACAGGTACATTCTTCCAAAATAAAGACACTCTGGCAGCGTTTCGAGCAGCACTCTATTGTGACCTAAAACATGCATTAGTGCCCTGGGCCCTTGATATGAGCAATCATGGTCAACACAGAAAGTGACATCTTCAAAGCAGATGGTTTTGGAGGGGGGAAATGCTCGCTTTCTTTCTGTCTCATTTCCTCTGCATCTCCGTCATGATTACTAGCTGGCTTGGCTTTCTCCGAAAGCACTCGGAGGCCTTGCCACTTCAAAGACACACCGAGGAGCATTTTCACGGCAGATGAAAGGTTTTTGTGAATCCCCATCCAGCAACAGTTGGACTACTGCTGCATCTAAACAGCACAAGGTGTTGGTTGGAGGATGATTTCTATTTTCTCTATTTCTGTGCTGTCTTCATCTCTGTTTTCTTTCTTTCTCTCTGGCCTCTGACTCTGATCTAAGACTATAATCAGACATCTTTTCAGCTCTGGAATATACTTGAGTACTCCCACAGTGTGCCTTTTCAGTGATGCAATGGCTAAAATTAGAAGCAGCTTGTTGATTGAATATTGAACGAAGCACAATGAAGGCAAAGATTTTTAAAACAGAACGTGTGTTGACAAAAAAGCAGCCGCTGGTCATGCTGCAGATTAAATGGAGAAAATCTAAAATGTGAGACGCAAAGAATGTAAATAAATAAAGTTATTTTGATTCGTTTTAATGATGATAATGGTGGAGACTGTTTATAAAGGACCTTCTGGTTGCCAGCTGTGTGAGGCAATGGTCTGTTAGTAGTTCACTAAGGTAATTACCAGAGACCAGTGAAATTGCTTGGACCTTCAGTGACCTCAGACTTTCGTTTAAATGACCATGGAAGTTAGTGACAGTTCTCATACAGCATCTCATGCTGCATAATGTACAATGCAAAGATTATTTCCGTACTCTGTATTTTTCTGTTTCTTTCCAATATGAATTAGCAAACAATTTCATATAAGTCAGGGCTCGTCATTAAGCACTGCCCGATGGTCCGGGGCCAGCGTGCTAGACAGTAGACAGGATTGTTACTGGCCCGATCGGGCTAGTGCTGCCTTGTCACTAAAGTTTAATTTGGCTGCGACTGTTTGTCAATTTTGTGCAAATAGGGTGCTTCACTCCTAGATGTTTGTTTTGGAACCTGTTTCATTTGCCCAGTTAGCCCAGTTCGTTTGGTATATGTAAATCTCGCAATCAAGCTTGCATCTGAGCCAAATCAGTCGGACCAAGATCGCCTAAATCAGGGTGGTCTCGGCTCGACTGAATCAAACTCAGAGCGGATTGATTGTAGTGAGAAAGCAAAACAATCCAATGAACTAACGAACCAGACTATACCACAGTGTATTATGGTTATGTAATCGCAATATACAGTATACGGCTCTATGAAGAGAGAAATAAGACTAGGGCGGGATGTCATTCCTACTGATAAATGAGCATTTCATGTCGAATACGAAAGCGAAAGCATGCTCAAATAGTACTGAGTGATGTTTCTCCGCTAGGAAAATTGACAGAAATAATTATTATAATAATTTGTATAAGGCCTGTTGTTTTGTTAATTTCTGCACTGACAGCTTGAAAGAAAGATCAACATTGATTTGCTTCATGATCTGACTGCAGTCTCGCTTCATCATATCTCTCTATAATTTAGACCTATAATGCATAATTCTAGCCAACGTTTTTTTGATAGAGCGATTAATTCAATAGATAGATTTTTACAAAACTTGACAACTGAAATGAGACTATATACAAGAAAGTCTGACCTCTCTGTGGATGTCAAATTTAAAGTGCACATTTTCGCTTATAATATATATATATATATATATATATATATATATATATATATATATATATATATATATATATATATATATATATATATATATATATATATATATATATATATATATATATATATATATATATATATATATATAATATGAAAATTTCAGACGCACAAACCTCTAAGTGCTATGCAAAACCCTTTTTCTCAGGCTCCTATGTTTATGTTGAATTATTTAACTTTGAGACTTTTAAAAGAGTGTATTCTTTGCCATAAATCTGAAACTACTAAGCCTACACACATGAGCCTGATAAAAATGCAATTTTTTTAAATAATATTTCAAACGGCTATTTGAGGTTTTATATTTTATAATTTATATATTTACATCACAATTTTTTTTTAATTTAAAGAAAAGTTATGCTGAAAAATAGTGTATGTATACAACTATGTTTGGCTTTTGACACATTATTTAAAACATGTGGTAAAGAAATAGCTATTAACTTCATTTCTTTTGGCGAGGCCAGTGAAAATTTTGGCAGGGCAAGTAAAAATTAGAAAAAATCTGATCAGGCCAGTAGAAAAAAATCCTTAGCGTTGAACTCTGTAAGTATAGGTTTACTTAACTATTTATTAAGGTTCGACTTAAATTAACATCTGCCAATTCCTTTCATTTTATAGTATGTGTCTTTTACTGCAGTTTATTTTGTTGCGCACAGCTTTGTTTTAATTAATTTCAGATAATGGAGGTAAAACCTATAATCTTATTGTTTATCGTCATTGATTTTTCATTTAAAAAGTTTACATACACACAATAATCCAACATGTGCTTCGATTAGATCTGAGTGTGTTCTCCAGCTCCTGTGTGGTCCATTAGCACACAGTTAGTTGGAAACCAGCATATCAAACACAAGCCGCAAAGCAGTTTGCCACGTATATGTAATCCTCTCTTCCTCTGCACCGCTAGCATGTGGTGAAGCGCCGACTATGTCACGCTGAGTACGTCTCTGAGCAATGAGGCACGGAGCCACAGAGGAACACATGTGCTTACAGGCTTTATGGAGCCTGCTGAACGAAACGGCGGCTAAATATTACAAATTTATCTGACAAGGAATCCATTTAGAGAAAATCGTAAACAAAAGCCATCAGCAGAAAGGCCGTCAGCTGGCGTCGAATTTGGATTACATCATTAGCGTGATGCACTATGCCCTTCCTGTAAACACTTCCCCGCAAAACCCAACTCTGACGGGAGGGTCGCTAGACAACATTAGCCTAATGAAAAAACGCTGCTAATGCACATTGTTGCAGCTGCGCTTCTGCACACTTTTAAAAGCCCCTGTTCCCACCGCCATATGGTATTTGTCATTAAAGGCTCCTTTGAGGAAAACCACTAAAATTAGACGAGAGGGAGAGAGGGAGCGAGAAAAAAAAAACACAAGTTGCATCTTTGATACCACCCCTCCTGACTGGATGATACAGTAACCATATGGTGTGGAGTTGAGCGAGTCAGGGAAGTTTTTCTGTTTACTTCTATGCAGTGACCGCCACAACCCCTAATGGGACCGATTTCTACAGCAGGACAAGGAGTGGATGAGATGAAATGCCTTTAAAATGGGGCGCCGCGAGAATGGAAAACGCAACAAATTGACAGACCCCTGTCCATCGTAGCCTAATGGAGTAAACAACCCACATAGCAAAATTTCTCTGGCCCACACAATCAGGTTTTGCTTGGCCCACATGCCGCAGTGAATTACGGTACATGGCTGGACTAAGTCTGGCTTCCAGACAAGGGTCAAGCATTGACCATATCTGGGTCAAGTCTCAGCCAGGTTGACTAACTGGGCCTAAAATGTGCCAGATATGTTGCTTTGTCACGATTGCAAGGAGATTGATAAACCCATGAAGCATTGTTCTTTAAGCCTTATTTATACTTTTACCTGGCACGGCATTGCGGACTTCCACTGACTGTGTACGCAACTCAAGAAACGAGCGAGGCTTTTATACTGTCTTATTTTTATAAGACATGTTTGCCATTGTGATATTATTAAAACGACTAGGGCAGGTCAAAAGAAACCCACCGTAAAATCAGACGGATAAAAGTACAAAATAGAAGTACAAAATTTCCGGAACTACATCATATTAATAATATAATTTAAAATTTCATTAATTCATTCATTCATTTTCTTTTTTTGGCTTAGTCCCTTTATTAATCTGGGGTCGCCACAGCGGAATGAACCGCCAACTTATCCAGCATATGTTTCATGCAGCGGATGAACTTCCAGCTGCAACCCATTACTAGGAAGTATCCATACTCGTTGAAGGTTTTTTTACTAATTATTTTTATTATTTGTATAAATTATTTTAATGATTATAAAGATTTTTTGTTCATATCTCAGACAGTTCTACCTATTAAAGTTTATTAAAATATTTATGACAACAGAACATGAGTTGCTCTACAAAAGTATTTTTTATCATAGAACGAATAAACCATTATCACCAATAAAGTAAAAAAAAAAAATTTGTATGTTGTAAACCACAAGTGTCAAACTCAGTTCCAAAAGGGCCGCAGCTCTGCACAGTTTAGTTACAACCCTAATTAAACCTGATCAAACTAATTGAGTCCTTCAGGCTTGTTTGAAACCTACAGGTAAGTATGTTGGAGCAGGGTTGGAACTAAACTGTGCAGGGCTTCGGCCCTCCAGGAATTGAGTTTGACACCCCTGTTGTAAACCGATAGGTTCAAATATTCTTTTTCAGATATCCAATAAATAAACTGTTCCTTAATTATAGTTTTGTAACTATTAATATATTTTAAATTATAAATAAATGGTGAAAAAACATTAATTTAAAAATCTGTTTTGGCTTTAACAATCTTATCTCTCAGGTTTTTCCAAACTTTTACAAAAACGTCCTTGCTTTCCCACAGCTTTTGCAATTTGTAGTCAAGAATTATTGGTCATCTGGTTATCCCTACACTATAAAATGTGCGCACCCAAAGCAAACCTTTGCAAACACCGCAATGACATCATATTCGCCGCGCTGATTCAAACGAACTAGTGGACGCGCCGAGTATAAACCAGGCTTTAGGCACACTATGGACATGCTTTTTCTCAAAGTGACATGATTGGTAGAATTTTTTTCTTTACTCAAAAATAATTTGAATGTATTTTAAATGTGGGTCAAGACAGCCCAAACTTATGTGACCCACATATCAATGTTTAACATCTGGGCCAAATTCAACATTTTACATCTGGCCCAAATCTTGTGTGCCGCCTTAAAGACCGTGCCAAACCCTGGCCATGTACTGAATGAATGCCTTCTGTGCCAGCTTTATGCCAAATCTGGGCCAGAATTCTTTGCTACCTGGAACAGATTTGATCAATCTCCAACAGTTGCTTATTTCATTATTATGGAAATGGCGATAAAGGAAAGCTAAGAGCAAGAGAAAGATGGGAAACGAGGAGGAGGGGGTGAAGGTTAGACAAAGAGGGAGGCGAATGGGTAGGTTGGTGCGGCGTTTGTAATAGCTGTCACTTACAAGCAGATGAAAACGAATGGCTAACGATTGAGGCTGGATGGATACAGCCGTCAGCATATGGATCAAAGCTCATGAGAATTTAATCTCTATCAAGCGCTGCTGTCTATTTGCTACATATGTCATAAATTAGCAAACTGCGCGTTCGCTCTGCAGGCTACAATCATTTTAATCTCCAATACAAAAATGTGCCATGTGTAACTGAAATACTTCCCTTTGTCGAAAGAATAATACGCCGAGTGTTTATTTGAACGGTTCGTGTTAAGTGCTCCAACATAAACAGGGCCACAGACACATTTAACTGTAATGAAATAAGGGTCGCAGTGACAAATGGGCGGCAGGGAGGGCAAAGGTTGATATTCTCCCAGACAACAGATCGTCTTACTGTGGTAATGCTTTCAGATGTGGCCTGCCCTCCCAAATTCAGCGTGTGAGAAAATCGACAGCAGAACAAGGGATTCCATCGACACATGGGAATAAATAGACACATTGTGCTGTGGGACGGGATCTTATGGTGCTGTTAGACTCACATCACATTATGTAATTCCAATTATAAAAAATAGTCCAATTGATTAAGATTGAGGTCTCTTTGCACATTAGATATCCATTTAAAAATGAGGGATGAAAAAAATCAATAGCTTAGAGAAATATGTATCAGTGCTTCAGTTGTTTAAATGCATCCCAGATTTCTTGATTGAGCAATACCTTCAGAAACGGGATGACAAACGGTCGGAGTGGGAAGTTGGTCGCTTCTTGCAGTTTGGAGTGGAATTCCTCAATGGTTAGAGTGGAGTTCTGCAGGGAGAGAGGAAAAAAGAGGGCGCATGCATGAATACATGTGGAAAACATTATGAGATAATATTACTTATTGGAGGCAAAACTATATCCTGCTGAAGATTGAATGATTTGAAGACTGTAATGGGAGTCATATGGATGGCTGCGGTGAAAGGCCTAGAATGGGGAAGTTTGATCTGGCAGCATGTGCTGACCACATCATCGTTGCGTCAACAAACACATGCACAAACACAACTACAGATGCAGCATAACACCGTAAAGCTTGCTCTGCGAGATAAAACATGGCATAAACATCAGAAGGCACACAGAAGATACGCGCCTTTAACAAAAATGTGTCTTGTTTTGCTACCAAACTGACATATATCTCAGCCCTGTTAAAATGTATAAAGGAGAAATGACTCGATTGGATTTCTCCTGCTTTCCGCTCTATCATCTTTTAACAGACTGATAGGACACCATTTTCAATTTTCGAGATGTTATTTCCAAGAGAGTTAGTGGAAGGAAAGATGGGAAAGAGAGCAGGGAGTCGTACATTTGAGAAAAATACACAGGCTTTTTTTTTCTCCCCTCATTTCCCAGACCTGAATTTTGTTACATTAGGCTTACATCTGTTCGGCCAGATTGCAGCGGCCTGTTTTGACAGCCAGAAAGCCTCCTGAGCTTTTCTCCAGCATCGGCGGCGCTAATTAAGTGTGTCACTCTTTTCAATAAGGCAGAGTGGGGAGCGAATTAAAAAGAGCCACGGAAGCCAAGGGGACACAAGGAAGCCTCTGCATGTAGACACAGCAAAAAATAAACAAATGCCCGCTGAAAAAAAGAGCTTTCCTTTGGAATGGCTAATTAAAGCAGCCCTCCTCTAGTACAAGCTGCTATTTCGCCTTTGTTTATTCCATAACTACATATTAGCGAAAATAACGCCGCGGTGCAGCTTATGCTGCACATCTTGTCAAGTGGATTTTTTTTTTTACAGTTTTGTTGCTATCCTTAGCTTCAAATGCATTCTGTTTGATTTGTTGTTGTTGGACAAGCCTTTATACAATGAAAGAAAAACAAGATTTTTTTGGCAAAACCTTTTTGGTGGCAAAAAAACAAAATAAATCAAATTTTCCTGTGTAAACTTTTCAGAAGATATAAGCTACTGTAAGCTTCTCCATTTTAGTTTTTTTATTTCATATTGCAACAAACATCTAAGCGAAACCCATTATCGGAACAGAAACTGGACTAGCATTCAAAAACGGGAGAGATTGTGTAGTTTAGGCTAAATAAATTAATGAAGAAGTCTGATATATATCACCAAAATTCATTCTCGCCATGGCTACATTACAGGTTCTCATTCAAAACATTTAGTCGTTGTTTTAATTTTTTTTTATAGCAGGTTATAATCGCACCAAAACATATTAAAAGGTAATTGAATTATAACAGAGCAAACCTTTCTGTAATCGTAGTAGTGCTGTGCGTTATTTGATAACCCTTAAAGGTGACATACAGACTGACAGGTGTGTGATGCGTGAAGCCAGCAAACACGACGTAGCTTTCAGTTATGTTAAACACAGTTTCCATAATTATACCTTATGTATAAATAAAGGTCTATGGTTCTGCAAACAAGGACTTTATCTTGCTGGAGTTTATGGCCGTTTCACTTAACTTTAGGATGCATCAATGCCATTGTAGGTCTATTGGAGACATTCATAAATATTCCTAACAAAGTCAAATAAATGTTGGAGACATCCTCATTCAGTAAACGACCACGGTAAAGTAAGTTTGACGTTTGACATTCATTAGACATTTGGTTTTAAACAGTTTCAATTATTTGCTCCTGTTCGCATGCTCGTATTACATAAATGTGATCTCGACATGTAATACCACGCTAGGTCTGTGCGATTTGGGAAAAATTTCTAATTGTGATTTTAATTGTGAACAGATATTGCGATTTCGATTTGAATTGTGATTTAATTTTGTAGTCAAGACTGAGCTCAATAATCTGGATCGTAGCTTCTTACTGCTAAAATGCAGTGAGTGTTAGTTAAACAGGAACTGTACAGATATTAACTCCAACATTTATTCAAACTGTTTTAAAATATTCATAATTGAAACACCCCTTTTTTTCTCCAGAGCAAACAGTAAACAAATAAAATGACATTATATCAAATTAGGGAGATAACAATTATGAAAATACAGAACACTCAGCAAAACTAACATTGCTTTCTGTAGCCTATATTGTCTAAAAACTAAATAATTATCGCAGATGCTACAAAAATATCACAACATTCAACGTCCAACTTTATTACTGCAAAATGGCAAAATTATGTGTGAGGTGGAAGTGTATATCTCCTTTCCAGCATTTGGATGAGGTTTTTAAATCCCTCTTTGTTCACTGCAATAAAAGGCACCGTGTCTTTAGCGAGGTCTTTAACTTTGCTGTTGCTAGATTGAGCATCACAAGCAAAACTTTTAGTTAATTTTTAGCAAGATGCTCCTCAAATAGCCGGCTAGGGTGCTTTTTTAGGTGCTGGTTGTTGTATTTCCTTGGGCTGTGGCAACAATTCTGTGACAGCTCTTACAAATGACCTGATTTTGTTCAGTATCTATGACTTCGAAACCAAGATATTCCCATATTATCAATGTAATGTTTTTCTTTGATATTACTTCATCTATGAATGCTTTTGAAGCAGCAGACGCCATCATCTTACTTGTTCAAACTTTACTGTTTGTTTGTTTTATTGTGGGCATTCTGCATAGTTAAGTTCAATCAAAATTGTGCATAACGAAAGCGCGCTCATTCAATTAGCTAGTAAGACTTGTCACACACACATTTGCTCTGGGTGGTGGAAATTAAATAATATAGATTTCATATCGTAGCCTCTTGCAATTAGCTAATCTCATTGTTTCTAACCACAATTATGATTCGATTTTGATTAAACGCACAGCCCTATACCACACACACGGCATTTGTCATTGAAATAACACCACAGGTAGTTGTAGATCTGTGTAAAAGGCCTGCAATCACAGCTGGAAAAAAAATCCTAGAGGAAACACTGTAGACTGCTAATTTACATGAAGACATTTTGATAAAGATAAAACAAATGCTGAATAAACGGTTTTCAATCATAAATTAGGCTGGGTCAATTTTGATTTTATACCCACATCAGTCACCAACAGATCTGATTTGCGACTACAAACTTACCACAAGTCCTAAGACCAGCGTGCGAACTCGTTCTCCTATCTCAGGCGAGATGTCATTGCCGAACTGCTGTAGTGTTGTGAGGAAGCGTTTGAGCTTGCTCAGCTGCCTTGCTCCACAGGCCGGTGGCAGCTGTTGATTGGCCAGCGAGGATGAAGATGATGACGAAGGCCCATTGCTGAAGCCATTGGGTGGAGATGGAGCTCCATTTAGTGCAGTGGGAGAGTGACTGGTGCCATTCGTTACTGGAAAACAGAACGATGATTATTTCCACACACCACAAAGAGAACGCTGGCATCTATTTTTAACTGGAGCGCAGTGAATGATTCTAAACCCTAAAGATTCGTATTAAACACTGCCAGGAACGTTCCTCAAAAGGAAAGCTTTGTCAAAAATGACTGACAGCGCTTGAATGAGGCTCTTATGACAGTGGAGCATTTGTTTTGAATCAGCCACAGCAGCTCTGAGAAGGAAGCTGTGCGTTCCTGCATCCATACATCAGACACATTAAGTCCAGAGGAGGAGAATACATGTGGTCGAGTGCCCCCCGCGCCACGATGAGAAACATACGCAGCGGAGGGATGCAGCTTGGAATCAACGTCTCTCTAATGAGATTAGGCTGCGTGATAGCCTCGTTTGCCTGGCCTCCCTCCAACAGAACCGAAACGAGATACTTGAGCTGCATCTGGTAACAATTACATGGAGGGGAAATCAAAGCGCTTGCTTTGTTAAACCTTCAGAATGTATAATTAGAGTCTGCCTTTAAAAAGGCTCCGGATTGCTTCAGACCCGGCTTTGCTTTTTGTCTCTCTTTTTTCATAAGCGCTAATTGCAGAGTCCAACTGATCTGTTTTTAGGGATGTAACATCAGAGAGAGGAATGCGTTACTGCTGTTGACAGCACACCACTGCTCAATTACTCTGACATGGTGCTGGGAGGCTGCAGCACGGACGGCTTTGATAGCGAGCCACTCCAGAGTTCCCCTGAGCTGGCATGTGTGATGCTCTTTGTGGCATCAGCCAGCGGGCAGAGGCAAAAATCTGCAGGTCAGAAGACGAGGGGAACTCATGTCGGCTGTAATGAGGCGAGTGCAAAACCACATATTCTTTCAATTTCAAAGCTGACTGATTATCGGAGTGATTAGTCAAGCAGCTGGCCTTAAAGCCCTGGATAATTTTACTGCTTTACTTTTGAATAGTTTGATCCTTCTCTGTTCGGATTTTCTAATGTTTCAATGTTTGTGTTTTGTTCCTAGATGTTTGTACCATATGCCACTTGGTTTTTTATGTAATCTAGAGCATCAGAAAGGACCTTCATCAACGTACATTATTTGAAATATTAGTTTTGATCTTTAAAGCTGCATTGACATTTCTGAAATGTACATGTCCCGAGGATATATTTTAAAAAATCCACACAAAACAGTAAAAGTAACGTTTTTAACTAAACTAAAAACTTAAAAACAAACCTAATGTATATGATTGGAAATTTAACAAGAAAGTGCAAAATTTCAGCAATATTTTAGCACTGCTCAAATTAGATCTGAAATAAATACCCATATTATTTTCCATCCTCAATGCATAACTTTAGGGACACAGACAGAACAGATTTATTATTAGTTTGTTTCTATAAGCACATCTCTTTTAAATTGACATTGCTAAATATTTAGTTTTGCTGCTACTGCACATGTATTGCAATTTGAAAGCAATTTCAAGAGATGATTTGAATAAAACTATTGGAAAAGAATTCATTATTTTAGAATGGCTGGAAAGCTTTTGTCAGGCGGTGTGTCTGAATAAAATTTAATAAACACCTTTCAAGAACAAATAAATACAATTCAACTTGAATGCAACTTGCCTGAAATGTTTACACAGTAACATGCCTTAAAAAGACATAAAAATGACAATCATTCACTCCATTATATTTAAACTTTGCAATTAATTCACAAATTAATTGCATTTCAAACTGTGGTGCCTGGTTGATTATGATTCCTGTGCTGCACACATTGATGTTGAAATTGTACATTATGCAGCCTTTTTTAATAATAACTTATTTATACTTTGAATGCAGAAAACGTATGCATCAATATAATGTATGCACTCAATATTAAAATCTGTTTACTGTATTTGTTTCAAATCTTATTGACTTTCTTTCCTCTGTTAAACACAAAGTAAAACATTTTGAAGAAATCTGAAAACATTGACTTCCACAGCATTTGTTTTTTCCTACTATTTGAGTTAATGATAACAGGTTTTCAGCTTACTTCAAAGGTTTGAAACCACTTGAGGTTGAGAAAACAGTGAGTAAATGTTCATTTGTGGGTGAACTATCTCTTTAAGGGGCAGCACAGTGGCTTAGTTATTAGCACTGTTGCCTCACAACAAGAAGGTCGCTGGTTCGAGTCCCGACTGGGCCAGTTGGCCTTTCTGTGTGGCGTTTGCATGTTCTCCCCGTGTTCATTTGGGTTTCCTCTGGGTGTTCCGGTTTACCCCACATTCCAAAGACATGCGTTATAAGTGAATTGGATAAACTAAATTGGCTGTGGTGTATGTGTATGTGAGAATGTATGGGTGTTTCCAAGTACTGGGTTGCAGCTGGAAGGGCAAGGCGCTTACAAATAAAATGTCTTACAAGGCGCTTTAAATAAAATGTATTATTATTATTATTATTATTTGTATTAAATATGCTGGATAAGTTGGAGGTTTAATCCATTGTGAGGACTTCTGATGAATAAAGGGACTAAGCCGAAGGAAAATGAAGAAATAAGTATCCCTTTAAAGGTTTACTACACTGCTAAGTGTGATTAGTTAAATTTTAGTTTAATAAAGTGAGTAAACTCGTTACCTTAAAACTATTAAGTAAATAAACTTTGAGCATAATTATAAAAATAAGTTGAGTCAACAAGCTTTTAAAAAAAGTGAGTAAATAGCAGTTGGTTTACTCCCTTTTTAATCTGTATTAATATTCTGTATGCTCTTGGACTAATTTCATATATTTATGAAATAAAAATATTTAGTGCGATGCAATTGTTTTTTAAAAAAAGCCCAGAGTGTCTTCTTTCCAAAGATATATGAACTGTGAATGCAGACCAAATCATTCAGCAACTGTTAAGGTTTTAGTTTGGGAAGGATGTTTTTTAGAAAATGCCTCTGTTGGTGAGGGAGAGAAGGACAACGATATATAGCCTTGGAAAACCTTTTACAGAAAACTCATCTTGCATGCTATCTTCATCAAATTTAAAATGTAAGCTCACGAGACACTTGGCTTTCAATGCATATTTGTTTTAGGTCATTAATGTTTTCCAGTTTTTGTATATGGAAAAACAAATATTGAACACAATCTCATTTTTTTTCTCATTACTTCATAATGTATAACCTTTCATATTTTTTTAGCATAACTTTCTAGATGAACCAAAGTAAAGCTCAAAATGTCTTCTTTCCAATGATAGCTAATTTTTGTTTGCAACTCACTGGGGTCAAGCACTGTTACTATTTAAAGTTAGGTAGGTATAAATCCCCAAAAGTGAGTGCTGGCTAACAGTAAAGTAACCATTAGCTATTCATTCATTAAATTCCGTTGGCTTAGTCCCTTATTTAGCAGGGGCCGCCACAGGGAAATGAACCACCAACTATTCCAACAAATGTTTTAGGCAGCGGATGCTCTTCCAGCTGCAACCCAGTACTAGGAAACGAATTGCTATACACTGAATGAAAATATTTGAACACTTCCTACTCTGTGCTATTCAAACGCATTGTTCTTCTGCAGAGGGATAGGCCGAATACTCACATGCTGTGGGGGTGAAGGAGCTGGTCCTGGGAGCTCCCTGTGTGGTGGGGGGAGGAGGCATGGTGGGCGGAGTTAACCTGGACTGTGTTTTCACATCAGCAGGTGAGTCGGGCATGGTGGAGCGCTTCTCAGTGCGATCTGCAGAAGAAAAAGTAGAACAGTTCTTGTGAGACCTCAGTGATATCCCAACAGCTGCCTCTCCACAGCACCTGAGCTCTGGTAAGACATACACACATAGCTGCATACGCGGCGCACGCCTTTAGAGAGTTCATAGATAGTAACACCAGTCAAATTCCAGCTGTCATCCCTATTTCCCAAATGATCAAAGACACCAGCAATACTCTCATTAAAACGTTTCAGAAATCTGGAGGAACCCCACAGAGATCGCCGACATCTCCAACACACATGTAATGTCTAAAGTACCCCGTTCCTCTAAATTAGAAAGTCAGTCAACCCATTTTACACTTGATTATGGTTAACAATAACAATGATGGATGATTTCCACTGTACATATGCTTGCATGTAAATAAAGCGTGCTATCACTGTGCTTCAATGTTGCTTTCTCAACTAAAAACATAGAAGATTTAGTCGACTAAAACTAGACTAAAACTAAAACGATTCAGAAGATGAAAATATGACTAAAACTAAAATAGAATTTGAGTCAAAAGTCTACGACTAAAACTAAATCAAAATTCGCTGTCAAAATTAACATTGGAGTGTACATGGTGCAAATTCTGATGGGAAGATTGCATGTCCACGTACATGTCACAAGTAATTTAATGTGAAAATCGTTCAGACACAGTGATATACGACACTATTTTATGACCCTGGGAATTCTGAAGCAATTGCATGAAATTTCATGCCAAAAACATGGACAGAGGAAAACATTGCTTTCAGAGCCTCTCTCTCATAACATTACACATCATGCTGCATACAGAACACACACCTCATGTATCCAAGCTGACATCTTCTGAACTTTTTTCAAATGTAAAAATGGGAGCTTATAAGCCACTCGGCTTCAGTTCCTCTTACATGTTACAAGCCGCAACCAAATAAGCATCAACGATTACCATGCGACTTCTCTCAGTGGGGAAAAAAATAATGTGTATGAGCTTGTACAACATCAAAAACAGCACCTTGTACATTCACCTTAAGAGCTTAGTCATCTACAGTATGACTCCCAATATTATCCATTTCGCTCTTAAAGCTTGAAATGCTATTGTTAACTATAACTATTAAAAACTGCTTGTTTATCAAATGAAAATTATTATTGAATTGAAATATTTATTATCTGTACTATCTTTAAAGCTTTAGAAATTTTGCCAAATCGAATGACATTGGCTTAGGTGTTAAATGTTAGAAATTAATTTAACCCAACACTAATATACAAACAAAAGCTAAATAGAAACTGAAATTTTTTAATAAATAAATAAATAAATAAATAAATAAATATATATATATAAATATATATATATATATATATATATATATATATATATATATATATATATATATATATATATACATACAAACAAAGAAGCAGGCACCGTCATAAGCAGCAAAAATTCTATTAAAAATACTTGGGTAAAATTAATTTCCATATTTTAAAGACATAGTGTGGAAAAATATAATATAATGCAGTGCTTCTTGTTTGGTCTGAAACCCACTTTATATCGTATCTCGGCCAGGCAGTGAAGCTCGCTGTTTTTAAAGAAATAAGATCTTAAACATGACTATTTTGTATGGAAAAATAAATATTTCTATTTAATAATAATTTAAACATTAATTAAAACTAGGAACACAGTTTTTTAAAAATAATAATGCATTCCGCATTTGAACATAGAACGTTGAAAACCCTTGATACAAAGTAAATCAAAAACCTTTTTTTTTCAGGTCATGTGCATGCTTTTTCTGCTTCAAAATCCTTGATATGACAGCACACAACATGACATCTAGATAATGTTTACTCCAGAAGGTCATGTCTAATGATGGGTCACAGTGGCCTTTAGCTGCAGTAACGATGAACCTTAAAAGCCTGCTCACCTTTCAGACTTATCAGTGAGGTTGCTCTGATAAGATACTAGAATAGAAAATACTTGCCGATACTACAAAAATTCTGGCATTGGTATCAGCGAGTATTTAAATCCATAACCGATCTGATACCAATCTTTTTTTTTAAATGAGACTTATGCTTGTTAGCTTTGCTTAACACTGCAAACCTAGAGTCAGTCCCTCTCCCCTGAAGTTGTGCCACAACAATCATTGTTAGAGCAGCAAAAAAGAAGACGGAAGCACACCATTTTATTTTTAAAATGTTTCTGAATTTTAAGTTTCAAAGAGGTTATTTTCTCATCTTATTCATATTTTTTAAAGTATATCTTTATACTCTAATTTTTTATACATTTACTCTGTAATACTTGAATTGATTTCTTTTCAGTTTATGGTGTTTGAACTTTATGGCAGCTGAACTTGTTTCAGTAAAGTACAATAAATAATACTACAGCTGAATGTCTGATGATGAAAATACTCTGCTTCACTGTATTTATTTGTTTTATTAATTATGTTTTATTAATAACTATAAAGTACATCGTAAATGAATTTCTGTCAATTTATACAGGGCACAACTGTTTTTCCAGATACACACTTGGGTATCGATTCAGTAGTTGGTAGCTCAGGTATCGGAATAGATATTGGGAGGGAAAAAGAGTATCGGAACATCTCTACTTATCAGTCTTATTTGATCTGTTTTACAAATATGATGGTCTCTAGTAACCCAGCAGCGTTCTCAATCTCTGTTTCTTACATATAGACAGACGTGGTGTACCAGCTGTGGGAACATTATGTGTCAGGGCAAGCAGCCGCCCTGTGTCTGGGATATGTAGCCTGACTTTCTGATTACAACTGTCTTAGGTGCCCCTTTGACTCTGATAACAGCAGGGGCTCTTGTCTTTCCCCTTCTCTTTCTCACCATTGTATTTTCAGCTTGTTTCATAATGGCTGCAAACCACCCTTCAAAGCTAGGGATATCAGCTACTGTCTTGCAGGCCATGTGTGCAATGCAGAATGATCTAAAATGAGAGTTGAATCCTCTTAGACAAGCCGTAGTCTGAACAGGAAAGCAGAAGAGATAAAAAAGGTGGGAATTTCAGCTCCATATGGCTCCCATTCCCCAGGCATCTCTGCGACTGTATATGTGGGAACCAGATTCTAAACATATGCGTCTGTGTAGGCTTAATCTGCCCCATACTTGCTCCCCATGCACTTTCAATCCTTTCCTCAATTGATAACAGTCACCGTGCTGAAAACAAAAGCTTATATATTACACAGGCAAGAATACATCTTTCTCAGCCTCGGCTAGACATTTACCGATAAAAGAAATGACAGAAAATCAGCAGGGGTCTTCAGTTTCACGCCTACACCGGTGCAGATTAACCATTCTGCATACGCAAAATAAATAAATAAATAAATATGTTTTTTTTTTAAATAGCAAATAAAATAAACAATGAAGAGATGATGGACTGGCTAATGTGAAAAAGCAATGCAGGTAATGTCAATGTGACATATAATTATTTTTAATAAGGCATCTCTGTATTTGGTCTATAATATTCATTCAAAACCATAATGATAGAAAAGAAAGATTCCTGAGTCGGTGAAAGGGACGAGGCAAAGCAAAAGTGACTCGATTCAACATTAAAATCTCAGTATGGGGCCGGTTATTACCTTGAAATGTTAACAACGTGACAAGTCCAGGCACTATAATTCACAAGAACCGCAGCACAAGCCTGAAATGAATAAAATAGCCCAAGCACTAGTGCGAAAGCTATTCTGAACCAGTGTGCCTGTCAGATTGTTATAATTGGAAAATACCATATAAAATTGTGAAAAAAATTATACTAATTAACCAGGACATGATAAAATCTACTGGAAAGGATTTTATTCAGCTTTGGTCATAGACGCAGTTCATAAAAAGTAGCTTGTGGATCTAGATGTTTAATTGAGCAGACCCCTTGGTTTTTCACGATTCCATGATTGCTGAACATGACGTCATATTGACATCGTACTCCAATGTACCCCAACGTTGTGGGGACATCGGATTTGGTTTGGAAATGGAAATCTGGTTGACGTCAGAACCCAAAGTCAGGCCAACGTCCAACCTTAAATGAGCCAAAAATTAACCAAATATCAACGTCTAATCATGTTTTAACTTGTGGACATTCTGTGGATAATACCACTGTGACATCTTTCAGGCATTGAATTTTGGACACTCTTCAACACAACCTAAAATAAACCAAATATCAACGTAATTTGATGTTGTTATTGAACGTCAAAATAACGCTGTCCTTAGACGCTGGCTAGACATTGAATTTTGGTCACCTGACGTCATGACCTAAATCTAACCTAATATTAACATCTTATGATGTTGGGTCCCTGCTGGGTTGGTTCAAGGATGAATGATTTTGTTTAACTCTTTTCCTGCAGTTAACGAGAGAAAAACAGACAAGTGCCATTAGGTTTTACATTATCTGTGTTTTAGGTGTATTACAGTAGGCGAAGCCCTAACTCATGTCCTATGTGTGACATGATGTCAGATGCTCCGGGCAGTGAAATCTGAGCAAGAAAAAGTAAAATTGTGAATAATCATATGAGTTATTTAACCTTCCTTTGGCTTAATCCCTACAGTTTTAGATCTTGTCTTGACAAGAGACCAAAATAAAGATGCTTTCTTTTTATGATTTGTGTCATTGTCATTGTGTCAGATTGCACACCTAACATAGTAGGCCAGTGTTTCTTAACCATGTTCCTGGAGAACCACCAACACTGCATGTTTTGGATGTCTCGATTATCTGTTACACCCGATACAGGTATTTCAGTCTCTGCTAATGAGCTGATGATCTGAATCAGGTAGGTTTGGTTAAGGAGACACAGAAAATGTGCAGAGCTGGTGGTCCTCCAGGAACGTGGTTGAGAAACACTGTAGTAGGATACCTAATATGATAAATAAGACTATATATATATATATATATATATATATATATATATATATATATATATATATATATATATATATCGTCACTTTGGAATTATAAGGTTCTATCTGCATTCTGAAAGATTTTGAGATAATGAGCTTCAAAGTTTTT